CTACCACATTTGACACAACCTACAATGTTGACTATGCAAAAGAAAAATTGGCTGCCAATTTAGAAAAAGAAGACAAAGGAAGAAAGTTGTCTTCCTTAATTTATGGGCTGGACCCCATATTTAGGTCGCCCTCTACCTCTCCTCATACCCGTCAAGGCCAGCCGGTCACACCTCCTCACCGGTGCATCCAGGCTTCTCATCTTCACGTGCCCGAACCATCTAAGCCTAGCCTCCCGCATCTTGTCTTCTATGGGAGCCACGTCCACCTTCACCCGAATATCGACCTTATTTTCTTATTTTTTTCTCATATATAGTAAATAGTTTGAGTAAAAAAGGTTATGAATTTTGAACTTAAGCGAGAAGAGAGATAACACCTTGGAGTTTTCCAGCCAGATTAGATTTGAAAGCGTGTAGTTTTACTTCTCTTATGAATTGGGACTTTTTAGCAAAGAGATGTGGTTATATGGTTGGTCGCCGACAGGTGACAGCCATTGGAGTTTTTTGGTGGTCAAAAATTCAATCCTTAATTTAATTTAACAAAAATAAGAAGAAGTAGGAAATGAGATGAAGGAAGTCGACTAATTTCTTGGATTTGGAATTTGTTCATAGGCTTTTTCGTATCTTCTTTTACTGGTTTGTTGTGGGTTTTGGGTGTTTGGGGGTGTTTGAGCGGAGAAGAAAGGTAAAAAATAAAATAAAATTTTGATAAATTAATTTAAAAATTGGGACCCAAAAATAGCACATATTAATTAATAAATTATGTAGTATATGGCGTGTTTGACATGTCAGTGTAATTGAAATATACGTTCGGTTAGATGTGTTTACTAGTATTCATTTCATTAAATTGAGGTGTCCAAATGAAAAAATTATAAATTTGTTTATCGGGTTGAAAAATGGGCAAGTTTAGGTTTTGCCAAGATGGAATGATATAAGTGGCATCTCAAGTCGGAAATAGCTTTCTCAAAGGCTATCTTTATTTACTACAGAAAAAATTCAAAATTAAAATGCGGTCTTTTTCTGTAGCTGGTTTGAGCTTTTCTTCATTTCCATTTTCTGCTATGTCTTTCTCTGTCTTCTGGGTCTGGCTTTCTTCCTTTAACTCTCTCTGTTCATATCCATTCTTCTTTACCTCTTTAATATTAAAATCATCACTTCTGTATCATAAAGGTGAGATTTTTATTTCCTTATTTTTGTCTCTCTACATCAAGAATGTGGCTGTTGAGTTGGGTATTCTGTTATTTTCCCCATTCTATCCTCATAGGGTTTATATTAGCATTTTGGGCTTTTACTTCTATTTTAACTAACATCAAACAGCTCCTTGGTTGAAGAGTAGGTGGAGATGCATATACACACAGAAAAAACGAAGAGATTTTGGGTAAAAGAAGAAGCTAAGAAATTGTAAGAAGGGAGATTTGGGTTTTGAAGAATGAGTGCGTCTAGGTTCATAAAGTGTGTCACCGTTGGCGATGGAGCTGTGGGTAAAACTTGTCTTCTCATTTCCTATGCCAACGACACTTTTCCCACTGTAAGTACTTGTTTACCTCTCTATCTCTCTATTTGTCAGGCATTTTCTTTTGATCTTTCTATTTATCGCCCAAAAGAACAAATTAAGCTAGTTATTCTCAGTAAAACGACCTTTTTTCTTGATTCATGACTTGCTTAATCAATTTGGCACCCGGTCTAAGAGTGGGTTGTTTTACGTTTACTTCCAATTACCACAAAACATGGATCTTTTGGCTATTTTTAAGGGAAAGAAAACTGATTTTCTACCATTATAGACTAGAGTTTTATGTTTTTTTTTTGGGTGGGGGTGTTTGAAAACCATGAGACATGTAGTCTAGGGAAAGGGAGCCGAAACTACATCTTGAATATTGTCTTGGTGAACTCAGCCTTAACGAGCTTCTTGTCAAGTTGGTTGACAAACCAACAAAAGGTTGTCTTCTGTTTTTGTTGTGCATCAGTGATAACTTGCTTAAAAGATACCCCTTTTCCCTTAAATGCAAAAGGATAAATACTCTTATAAACTAAAAGGTATCAGATGGATGGAGTATGAATAGAAAAAAGTAAGTATTAGAACTCTCATGGAAGATGGAATAAACATCACAAAAACCAAACTAAGATACTCGTTATAATTTAATAGCTCAGTTTCTAACTTGATACTGGTTTTTTTATCAAAGATGTCACTTGTTAGAGTGAAAGTGCTTTAAAAACTTTAATAAAAAAGTTGATTATAAGTTCTAGTTATGTTTATGTGAGTGGTGTGTGCATTGCTCATGTTTGGTGATTGTCTGCTGCATTGCAAACAGGTTTGCGTCCCAACTGTATTCGACCATTTTAGTGCAGATGTGGTTGTCGATGGGAGCACTGTCAATCTGGGGCTCTGGGATACTGCAGGTAAAATATTTCCCTACATGACATTTTCAGCTTTTTCTCTTGTCCCTCGCTCCGCGGCGCACATGTCAACTACCTCTACTTTTTGATTGAACAGGTCAGGAGGATTACAATAGATTAAGACCGTTGAGCTATCCCGAGGCAGATGTATTTATACTGGCGTTTTCTCTCATTAGCAAAGCGAGCTATGAAAATGTCTCCAAAAAGGCAAGTTTCTCTCCTGCATCCTGCCTCTAACTTTCATTTTTTTTTAATATTTTTTTTGCTGTACTTGGCCGGGAGATGAACTTGTGGGAACGTTAATGAAAGCTGTCGGTCCCATTAAGTTTTGAAGCAAGTCCATAAATAACATTGGCTTGTTTGTCTTTTACATTAGTTGTTCATACCATATGGATAGTGAAATACCTACCAACCTAGTACTTCCAGTGTTGAATATTTAGGATTTCTTAGCGAAGAATGAGTAATAGTTGCCTATCAGAAAAGTAAAATAAATAAAATGTATGGTTGGTGATATTCAACAATTACTAATACATTATTTCATCTTCCTCCTATTGAATTTCAGTGGATTCCTGAGTTGAGGCATTATGCTCCTGGAGTTCCAATTATTCTTGTTGGAACAAAGCTAGGTTCGTATCCTAATTAATCATGTTTGATTGTTAATTCAACAACTGATTGATTTATTCTTATCTAATTTCACTAGTTGGTCAGAATGATGGTGTCTTTTTGTCTGTCTTTACATTATTTTTGGTCTACTTATCTTCATTTCCTGAGCTATGATTAATCCTCTCTTTGGAAATTTTGCCTTTTAAATTTGGCCGAGCCATGAAATTTCAGACTACCCTTGAAGAGAGTTTATTTTTGTGCTGGGTCATGAATCACTGTGTCAAAAGTTTTGCAGAGCTGTTTTTTGGGGAAAAAAGGAGCTCTGTAGGAAGTTCCAGGTCACATAAGTTCCTTATTTGGCAAGTCAAATGCAATTGTGATATTGCTGCTATTCCCTAGAATTGTGGTTGGGGTCATAAAAGATGGAACGTATGATGCCTTTCATCGTCGGTTGTATATATTTGTCTTTATGGCATGAGTAGTTAGCATGTGCATGCTCTCACTGCACCTTGTTTTCTCCTTCTTGAGAGGTTGAGCCTATTAAGCGTCGATACTGCAGCTACTTTTGGTAACGCACCGGTCTGGAAAGCATGATAATGTGATTTTTTATCGACCATTTAGCTGGAGCAGTTCTTATGAATGAAAACATTTCAGGAGTTATAGGCAGTTTATTCATGTACCGAAACAGATAGCTGATGTGATAAATGCTGCTGTTTAGTGGCTGAACCACCACCAACATAGCCAGTATATTCCCACAACTGGGGTTTTGGGAGGGTAGTTTGTACGCAGACCTTACCCCTACCTTGTGTAAGCAGAGAGGTTGCTTCCGATAGTCCAGGTAAGCACAGTATCAGCCATAAATATCTGCTGAATCATGATACTAAATCATTTCATTCAGTAGAGTGCTGAATGAACATGAACATGTTGGATGCAAATACATTGGTTGAAATTCAGATGCCTTTTAACTGGATTAACCCTGAAGAACTATTTATGGTGTCAATAGATGAAAAAATGTGAATCATATATGGCTAGGCAGAGAGGATATTGTGATTCGTGGAAACTTCTACACCTTTTGGATCCCAGATAATCACTTTTTCAGTAACTTAGGTTGTTATGTTGTTAAATTGCTGGAGAAGTGTGACCTGTTGCATACTCAGATTTGAGATAGACGAGAAAGAAATATTTGTTCAAAGTTTTGTTTCTCATTTAAAGAATGCAGGGTGCGCAATTGTTTTATAGTTTTGAATTGCGTGGCCTTGTATGTCGCTTGCGCCGGTCACTTTATGGTCTAAAGCAGTCTCCTCGAGCCTGGTTTGGTAAGTTAAGCACAATTATCCAGGAATTTGGCATGATTCGGAGTGAAGCTGATCACTCTGTATTCTATCGGCATTCTGCTTCGAGTTTCTGTATTTATCTGGTGGTTTATGTTAACGTAGCAAACCGAGAGCATAGTAATACCTACGTCCCTAGAATGATTCGATGGGATGAGATATTATCCAAAGATGAATGACGTTTTGAAGTCATAACTCAACCTAAATATGAACAAGAAAGTTCACACATCGAACAAGTAATTCAACACCCAACAGGTGCAGTAGACTTAATTTTTTTTAGATCTAACTCAATAAGCGAAGCTTCTTCCAGTAAAAGAATGTCCTTCAGTGGACCTTCTTCTTCTAAACCCCTGGAGGAAAAGTATAAAAGCAACATAAGCGATAAAAGCGATGAAGAATTAATCGAAGAACTTGATAGAAAAATAAAAGGAGTAGATTTTAATAAAACTGTTCCTAAAGTAATCTATCAAAAGGGTCCTTTTATTCACAAAAGTTCATCCGCACAAACAATAGATAGACTTCGAACTCTTAAAGAAGAAAATAACTTCAAAATAGATTGGAAAAGTCTAAATGCTCAGTGGGAACACCCTGATAACAATATTAAAAGAAAATGGTATGTAAATGCCTATTCTTTAGATCAAAGAAAGTCTTTCAGATATAAATGGATTAAAGATCTAAAAAGACTTAAATGTGATATAGAATTCTTTAGATGGTTCAAATTAACTGGGCAGATTCCAAATCAAAAGGAATCTTTACAAATGATTATTAACAAATGGTATACTAAAAATAAAGGTACAATAGAAGCCACTATTCCACCTTTAGATGAAATAGTAATACCAGTTCAGAATGAGGTCATAACGGCTTCCCCCTTCAAAAGAGAAAGCATTCACCTCGATAAAGAACCAATAAACAAAGACTTGAATAAAATAATTGTTCAAAATAACTACACAAACAATCTTTTACATGTTGTAGCCAATCAATTAAAAGACACTAACAAATTAGGAATCCCAACAAAATCAACAGTAGCACCTACTATAGAAACACATCCTACTATTAAAATCCCTGAATTTTCAAAAGAAAAGTTCCCGCAATTAAAAGATAAATTTGATTTTACAAATGAACTTCTAGAAAAAATAGAAGAACAACTTAAAACGAAACTGAGTGTATCAAAAATCCATACATAACAAGCTAGTAGTAGTGGAGACAAAAACTATAGAAATACATAAATTACAAAAACAATTAACTTCATTAAATAAAACGTATGAAACTATACTAAAGGATGAAACCATCCCTGACAGAGAAGCAAAGTTAATAATAATAGAGAAAGCTTCTAACGAATGCTCAGACTTTATTAATAAGATAAAACCTCTAGTTACATTAAAAACCATCTCTGCTAATACTCCTGAAGTAAGTAGAATAATGGGAAATCCTCGACATCCTAATAAGAAAACTTATTATGGAAGACCAATGTTCCCAGATGTTCAATTTGAAGAAGACGTCTATCTATCTTACTCCAGTCATGACGGAACTGGAATTACCGAATGGAATATTGATGGCCTAGCCGAAGGCCAAATTTACAAAAAACTCCACGAAATAGGAATTGCGGTAACAGCCTACAAAATAAAAATGCGTCAGATAAACACACTGCAACCTTAGTAGTATCAGGTTTTACTGGTACATTAAAAAATTGGTGGGATAATTATCTTTCCGAAGAAAACAGAAATCAAATTCTTAATGCTACGACCATAACAACTGTAGTAAAAACTGAAAATAATACTCAGACAACCGAACAAGTAGCTAAAGAAGATGCTACAACAACTTTAATTTATTGTATAACGAAACATTTTATTGGAGAACCAAAACTATTCCACTATAGAAGTCTTGAACTTTTTAATAATATTAGCTGCCCAAAATTAACAGATTTTAGGTGGTATAGGTATAAAGATATGTTCATAGAAAAGGTAATGATCAGAGAAGACTATAATAAACCTTTCTGGAAAGAAAGATTCATTAGTGGATTACCCAGACTATTTGCCGAAAAGGTAAGAAATAAAATTAAAGATAGATTTAATGGTTCAATTCCATATGATAATCTAACATATGGAGATTTAATAAGCTTTATTAATGTTACAGGTTTAGACCTATGTACAGACCTAAAACTAAAAAGCCTTATTAAAAAAAGCATACTACAATCCAAAGCTGAACTTGGTAGTTTTTGCCAAGACTTCGGTTACAAAACAATTGCAGCTCCTTCAAAAAGAGTATCAAAGAAAAACAAACATAAAATTTCTGATAAACCTATAAGACGCCATAAGCGTAAAGAAAAGAAAGAAGGTGAAACTTCTAAAAAGAAAAGGTTTAAAAGAAAGAAAAATTATGGTGATAAATGATGGTCATGTGGAAAAACAGGGCATAGAGCCAGTGACTGTAACGTCACGAAAAAGAAAAAGAATAAAGTTAATTCTTTAGAAATTGATGAAAATACTAAAGAAAAACTTTACGCTATTCTAGAAGATAATGATTACAGTTCATCGTCTTCATCATCTTCATCCATTGTTAGTTATTCGGATAGTGACAATGAACTAATCAATGTCGCGTATGATTCAGACAGTAGCAGCTCAATAGAAAACAACTGTAACTGTACTGGCGCAGTTTGCGTGTGTAGTCAAAACTCACTTAGGGTAATTTCGGAAGACTCCAAGGAAGTCTTATTCGACATCATCAAACACATTGATGACGATGACTTAAAGAAAAAATATCTAATTGAATTAAAAAATATTATGGTTAAACAGAAGGGAAATCGACCACACATAGAACCTTTTGATATGAAGAAAGTAATGGATAGATTTTTTGTTAAAACAGAAGAACCCACTACCATCCAACATCTTCAGACTTAACTTAAATCAGTGAAAGAAGAATTAAAAGATATTAAGCTTAGACTTAATAAAATCGAAATGGAAAATATTACTGATAAAATATTATCCCAAGCAAATAAAGGAAAAACTATTAATCAAGAATTCTTCAAAGAAGAAAATGATGGTAACGATTGCGAAGAAGATGGCAACGCTTCAAAATTAAACGATAATGATTCAATTATAGAAGAATCAAGAGACGACTCATCAGCCTTAGTTAAACTCACTAAAGTAAAGGCTAAAAGTTATCATCTCCCCATAACTTTAAAAGTGCAAGATATGACCTTTAATAAATTAGCATTATTAGATTCAGGTGCAGATAAGAACTGCATAATGGAAGGAATAATACCTCTAAAATATTTAGAAAAGAGTATGCAAAAATTATACTCCGCCACAGGAGAACTATTGAAAATAAATTACAAATTATCTAAAGCACATATCTGTAATGATGGAATATGCTTTATTAATGATTTTGTAATAACAAGGGATATAAATGAAGAAATAATTTTGGGAATTCCTTTCCTGACTCAAATAAAGCCACATTACGACGATTTAAGTGCACTCTGCACTAATGTATTAGAAAAAGAAATACGATTTCCTTACCTAAATCCAATCTCTAAAGAGGAAAGTGATTACATTAAATCACAAACAATTTTTAAAATAAACTTATTATCTCAACAGGTTAATTACTTAAAAAATAATATAAAAGTTCACAAAATTGAACAAACTTTAAAAAACCCGGAAGTAGGAGATAAGATTAAACTGTTTCAGCAAAAACTCGAACTAGAAGTTTGTTCCGATTTACCTACAGCCTTTTGGGAACGAAAAAGGCACATAGTCCACCTACCTTACATAAAGAAATTTAATGAACAAAACATACCTACTAAGGCAAGACCTATTCAAATGAATCATGACTTAATAGAAGTCTGTAAAAAGGAAATAAGTGATCTTCTCCAGAAGAAAATAATTAGGCCTTCTAAATCACTTTGGAGCTGTGCAGCCTTCTACGTTAACAATAATGCAGAAAAGGAAAGAGGAGCCCCTAGGTTAGTAATTAACTATAAACCTTTAAATAAAGTATTACAATGGATTAGGTACCCGATACCTAATAAAAGAGATTTATTAAAAAGAACTTATAAGGCTAATATTTATAGCAAATTTGATATGAAATCAGGTTTCTGACTAATTCAATAAAACTGCCTTCAATGTCCCCTTTGGACAATATGAATGGAACGTAGGCCTTTTGGGTTAAAAAATGCCCCATCTGAATTTCAGAATGTAATGAATAATATATTCAACCCCTATAGTAACATGTCAATAGTTTACATTGATGACGTATTAATATTTTCAGAAGATATAGATTCCCACTTTAAACATCTCAATACTTTCTTTAAAATAGTAAAACACAACGGACTAGTAGTCAGTGCTAAGAAGATAAAGTTGTTTCAAACAACCATTAGATTTTTAGGACATGACCTATATCAAGGAACTTACAGACCAATTTGTAGAGCCATTGAATTTTCGTCCTAATTTCCCGATGAAATCATAGACAAAACACAACTTCAAAGATTCTTAGGAAGCCTCAACTACGTAGCAGACTTTATCCCTAATATTAGGAAAATCTGTGAACCCCTTTATAAACGTCTCAGGAAGAAATAGGAATTGGAACTGGAATTCCAAATCCTGAAGCGTTCATGTTAGTCGAAACTGACGCTTCTAATGAAGGGTACGGTGGTATTCTTAAACAACGAATTTCGTCATAGTCTCCAGAATAGTTAGTTCATTTCACTTCCGGTATCTGGAATCCGGCTCAAAAGAATTATAGTACAGTCAAAAAAGAGATTTTGTCTATAGTACTATGTATTACAAAATTTCAAGATGATTTAATAAATAAAGAATTTATATTAAGAGTTGATTGTAAATCAGCTAAAGAAATTTTGCAAAAGGATGTGTCAAATCTTA